TCCGGGTGTCTGCGAGATAGACATTTATTCAGCCATATCCACAAAGATCGACTCTTTGTGTCACAAGGTTGAAAGCATGTCACAGTTAGCACACGTTAAGAAGAACAATTGTGAGGAATGTGGAGTTGAGCATAAAACATCAGAGTGCCCAATCATAATGCAAGGAATTGAGCAAGCAGACTATGCACAGTGGAGATAGCGCCAACAGAACAACTCATATGGGGAAACTTACAATCCCAGTTGGAAGAAACATCCCAACTTTTTTTGGAGCAACCAGAATCAGAATAGGCCACAGAAACAGTTTCAACAACAAGAGAAAAGACCTCAATTGGAAGAGATGTTAGGAAAACTCATGGAGAAAGTCAAAGCTACCCTTCAGAACTAAAATGCAGCCATTAAAAATTTGGAAACTCAGATGGGGCAGCTAGCCATGGCGTTGACTAGCAGAGCACTGGGTAATCTGTCGAGTAACACAGAAATTAGCCCCAATGAGCAGGCTAAGGCCATTACAACTCGAAGTGGTGTGCAGCTACTCGAAATACATGTTAAGAGACCGAGTGTGAATGAAGAGACATCACTACCTGCAGAGGAAGAAACTGTAGAACAGGACAAACAACTAAAAGAATCAACTCCAAAAGGAAGTCCAGACAATTCACGGGATAAAGCCACGTCTACAGTCAACCCACACGAGCCTCCAATTACATTTTCCCAATGGTTGAGGAAACATAAAATGGAGCAGCAGTACAAGAAATTCCTAGAAGTCTTCAAAAAGCTCCACATCAATATCCCACTAGCCGATGCACTATCCCAGATGCCCAGCTATGCAAAATTTTTGAAGGATATTCTATCAAATAAACGCAAGCTGGAAGACCACGAAACAGTAATGCTTACAGAAGAATGTGGCGCTAGAATTCAGAAAAAGCTCCCGTCAAAATTGAAAGATCCAGGGAGTTTTACTGTTCCCTGCACTATTGGTGAAGTTTATTTTGATAAAGCTTTATGTGATCTTGGTGCAAGTATTAATTTAAGGCCTCTATCCGTTTTCAGGAAACTCGGCTTGGGAGAGGCTAAGGCGACTACCGTAACACTGCAGTTGGCTGATAGGTCACTGGCCCATCCGAGAGGAATAATAGAAGATGTGCTTATCAAGGTTGAAAATTTCATATTCCTTGCAGATTTCCTCATCTTGGACATGGAGAAAGATAAGGACGTCACGTTGATACTTGACAAACCATTTTTGGCAATAGGGAGAGCCTTAATTGATGTTCAGAGGGGACGATTAATTTTGAGATTGGGGGAGGAGCAAATATCATTCAATGTCTTTAAGGCTATGAAACTCCCTTCAGAATCAGATAGCTGTTTCCAAGTCATTGTCATTGATAAGGTGGTCCAGGAGGCATTCTTACTTAACAGCACATCCGATGCTTATGAGGCGTGTATTGCACATTCTCAGTTAACCCAGTCAGACTCTATTGAGATTGAGACATGTGCAAGGTTTTTGGAGACCAACCTACCATACACACGAAAGAGGCACTTCGAGGAGCTAGGAACAGGGACCACAAAACCATTACCTTCCATTCAGCAGCCGCTAGGAACTTAAGTAACTGCAGCCACATCCCAGATATGCTTATTTGGGAGAATCATGTACACTCTCGGTGATTATTTCAAACACAGTTAGTGAGGTGGAGGAAGAAAAACTACTTAGGGTACTCAGAGAAAATAAGACAGCGATTGGGTGGAAAATAAGATAGCTGACATTAAAGGGATCAGTCCTTCACTGTGTGTGCATGAAATACTCATGGAGGAAAATTGTAAGCCAAGTATAGAAGGCAAAGAAGACTGAATCCAAACATGAAAGAAGTGGTCAGGGCAGAGGTATTGAAATTACTGGATGCCGGCATTATATACCCAATTTCAGACAGTGCATGGATCGGCCCAATTCAAGTTGTGCCGAAGAAAGGGGGAATCACAGTGGTGCAAAATGAGAAAAGTGAGCTAATTCGTACCAGAACTGTAATGGGATGGAGAGTTTGTATTGATTATCGCAAACTTAATACAGCTACACGAAGGGACCATTTTCCATTTTCGTTTATTGATCAGATACTAGAAATGTTGGCAAGGCATTTACACTATTATTTTCTTGATGGATACTCAGGCTACAACCAGATACCAGTTGCTCCAGAGGATCAGGAGAAGACCACGTTCACTTGTCCCTACGACACTTTCGCCTACGGTAGGAAGCCATTTGGTCTGTGCAATGCTCTGGCTACATTTCATAGATGCATGATGGCAATATTCTCCGATATGATTGAAAGATTCATAGAGGTGTTCATGGACGATTTCTCAGTTTTTGGATCGTTATTTGATGAATGCTTGGAACATTTAAATCTGGTCTTACAGAGATACAGGGAGACTAACTTATTCTGAACTGGGAAAAATGCCACTTTATGGTACAGGAAGGAATTGTACTTGGACATCAGGTCTCAACAAAAGGAATTGAGGTGGACAAAGCAAAAATTCAGGTTATTGAGAAGCTACCGCCACCAACATCGATTAAAAGGGTCCACAGTTTCTTAGGGCATGCGACATTTTACAGGAGATTCATAAGGGATTTTTTGAAAATCACTAAGCCGCTGTGCAATCTACTGATGAAAGATGTACCTTTTGAATTTAATGAGGAATGCCTGATAGTTTTCAACACTTTGAGGGAGAAACTCACGACAACATCGGTAATTGTAGCACCAAATTGGGAATTTCCTTTTGAATTAATGTGTGATGCCAATGATCACTTCGTGGGTACAGTATTAGGACAGCGAAAAAATAAGATTTTTCACGTGATTTACTATGCAATCAGAACCCTAAATGATGCCCAGATCAATTGCGCTACCACTGAAAAGAAGCTTTTGGCCGTCGTATATGCATTCGACAAATTTATATCATATCTTATGGGATCTAAGGTCTTCGTTTACACAAATCACGCTGCACTGAAGTATCTGCTAACAAAAAAAGATGCGAAGTCGAGATTGATCCAATGGATATTGTTGCTACAAGAATTTGACATTGAAATCAGAGAGAAAAATGGCAGCGAAAATGTGGTAGCAGATCGCCTGTCACGATTGGAGTCTGGGGAGACAGAAGAATTAGTGGATATCAGTGAAATTTTTCCAGATGAACAGATGTTGAACATAGAAGAAGCACGTTGGCTCTCAGACATTGTTAATACTTGGCCAAGTCCATTCCACCACCAGATTACTCAAACCACCATAGGAAAAAGTTCTTTTCCGAACTAAAGTGCTACTTCTTGGAAGATCCGATTCTCTACAGACGAGGGGCCGATCAGATAGTAAGGATGCGTATACCTGAAGAAGAAGTACCCGAGATCCTTGAGTATTGACATTCATCTGCATATGCGGGGCACTTGGAAGCTTCAAAGACTGCCGCTAAGATTTTACAGTCAGGGTTCTATTGGCCTATATTGTTTAGAGACGCTTTTGAATTTGTGAAGAGGTGTGATAGGTGTAAGCATACTGGAAATATCTCGAGATGGAATGAAATGCCATTGAACAACATTTTGGAAGTGGTGATATTTGACGTCTGGGGGATTGATTTCATGGGACCTTTTCCCATATCCTTCTCAAATCAATATATCTTGGTAGCAGTAGACTATGTATCCAAATGGGTGGAAGTAGTTGCATTGCCAACAAATGACGCGAAGGCCATAATTGGGTTTATGAAGAAGTACATTTTCACCTGATATGGCACATCGTGGGCTATAATCAGCGATAGGGGAAAGCACTTTTGCAATCGTCAGTTTGAGAAATTGTTGAATAAATATGGCATCAAACGTCGTGTAGCTACTCCATATCATCCACAGGCCAGCGGACAAGTTGAAGTTTCTAATCGGCAATTGAAAAGAATACTTGAGGTTACAGTGAATTCATCTCGAAAGGATTGGTCTAAAAAGTTGGACGATGCTTTGTGGGCTTATAGGACAGCACTCAAGACACCAATAGGGATGTCTCCATACCACCTAATTTTTGGGAAAGTGTGCCACCTACCACTAGAGATAGAACACCGACACATTGGGCTATGAAATAGTTAAACACGGATTTGAAAGCCACCGGGGAAAAGAGATTGTTGCAACTGAATGAGTTAGATGAATTTCAGATGGAAGCATATGAAAACGCAAGGCTCTACAAAGAGCGAACTAGAAGTGTCATGACATGCACATTCAGAGGTGAGAGTTTGAAGTGGGGCAGAAAGTGCTATTGTACAACTCTAGACTCAAGCTTTTCTCGAAAAAATTAAGGATAAGGTGGTCGGGTCCCTATACAGTCACCAAGGTGTTACCATAAGGGGCTATAGAAGTCAGCCATGAAACTAAGGGTACTTTCATAGTTAACGGACAAAGGCTGAAACACTACTGGGGTGGTGACTTCTCTAAGTAAAAGTCCACCGTTCAACTTGGGACACCAGAGTGAAGCAGCTACGGGAAAGTCTAGCTAACGACTATAAACTAGCGCTGAGTGAGAAACAACCCATTGTATCCTTTTCATTACTTTTAATTTTGGTATTAGCTTAGGAAATTTTGATTTTCACGTTTGATATTTTTTTAGGTTTAGGTCATCGATCATCCATACATGTCAATTGAGTCTAAGCACTACCCACACGAGTCCCTATTCATCGAGCACGAGTTAGGAATGATTGATTTAGTGTTTAGGTGATTGGATGTGAACATCACGCATTTCGAGACAGAAAGTGTGTTTTTCAAAGTACTTTGGGGATCAAAGGGTGACTTCAATTTTAAAAAGTGATTTTGGAACTAAGTCAATAACCTACACGAGCCCCATATGGTCTAATGTGTTTTGAAAAATTTTGGGGGACGATGAAAGGCCGGTTCGAAGTCACAAGTTGAAAACCAAGAATTTGGGAAAAATTTTGGTCAATGTCGAATTCTAGGGAATCAATTGTGTTCTTAAAAATTTTCCACGTGCATTTAGTTTTTTTTTTAAAAAAAAAAGAAAAAAAGAAGAAGGAGGGGCCTGATTATATCTATGCGGCCGCATAGAAGAGGCCAATTACGGGTATAAACCCGTAACTTGGTCTCTCAACTCTCATTCTTCTCCAAATTTTACACGAACCTAGACCCAAAATTCCTCCTATTTCACGTCCAAATTCAAGCCAAGTCACATTAGATTATCCTAATTGCACACAACAATAATCAAGCACTTTGGAACAACCACAAAAACACAACACTAACAATATTCAAAGGTATGAATTTCATCCCCTTTCACGTCTTTATGCTCAGTGTGAGGTTATTTTCAACTTGTTTTTGTAAATTGAGGAGAATGTGCTTAGGTAGATGTTGGTTTATGAATTTGATTATGTTTTGTGCTCTATAGATTAACTTCATTCATCAATTTCTTCAATTCTTATGAATTCCGTCTTGTGTACACCATGTGTTCGCAACACATAGGCACCAGAATGGTTAAGTCATGACACCTCACGTCCCCTACTCTACACCATCATTTGACACACCAAACAAAATCCAATTGATTTGAAATTTGAGTATGTACTACACCTCATTGAATACTTTTATATGCCTAGAGATTGCCTGGGAAAATTTTGAATTTTTTCGATGATGCCTATGTATGAAAGTCCTTAGATAGTCATAGGTTCTATTATTCAATTTCCTTGTTTTTGGGCCAAGTCTTGTTGATACATTCTTATCTTGACACGATATCTCTATATTGGGACATATTTCATGCATTTTCCATACCAACTTCATACACATGCATTTTAAAGCAAGTTTGGGGAATTTGGACAATATATGCCTTGTTTTCCTTATTCCATGTCTTGGATGTCAACATGAAACCTAATGAATGTACTTCACAACTTTGCAGGATGCCTCCAAGACAAACCTCAGAAGGGAAGGAAAAAGTTGGCTCATCTTCCGGAACAGCCCGTACTCGAATTCTTTAAGGGGGCATCCAAAGATTTTTGAATTCCGAGACAGCAGCCCGCTATGAAAACATTGTGAGTCGGTGGATAGTAACACCAAAGCCGGCGGTAAAATTAGAGGGTTTTCCAGGTTTTGAGTTGATCACTTTGGTGGATAACTGTGGGTGGGCAAAGGTAGTAGAGCAGCCACATTGGATCTATGAATCATTAGTGGAAGAATTCTACGCAAATTTCAATGCAGAGATCGACACACCAGGGTCCGACCACTTGCATTAGATATGGGTCAGGGGACAGTGGATTATGTTCTCACCAGAGGTTATTCAGGACTACTATTAGCTCACGTGGGACAACATAACCCCCATCCCGAGCAATTTCAATTGGAATGAAGTAGCCGAGATCCTATTGGGGCGACAAAATGCATGGTCACTCCCCACCACTGCATGGCACCAGATTGAGCTGACACCGTCTATAGCTATCTTGTGGCTGTTTATGTGCCATAACGTGGAGCCGACCTCGCATATGACCACATTCACAGATCCCACAACTGGGTTCATTTATCACTTGGTGCGAGGAAATAAGATCGATCTCGCCACTCTTTGCTATAATCAGATCCATCATGTGGGTACTCTGGGAGACAGGCACAGTTCAATAATTTATCCCAGCCTCATCTCCGGCATATGCTTAGCTGCTGGCATCAATATCGCACCAGGGGAGGCACCTGCTAAACCCAACCCCCTATAAAGTGCAGTACACTGGAAGCTCAAGACAGAGCCAGGATAAAGCACAGAGAAAAGTAAGAGAATAAGCACCGCAGGCAGCAGAAAGAGCAGGGTCAAGTGCTTGTAGATCAAGAGATGTCACAAACTCCACCACCACAGATTAAGGTGGATACACAGTTGTGGCGTCAGATATTCGCCACCACCACGGGAACCAGCCGCAACATACAGGGTCTCCAGCAGGCTATGGGAGCTTTGACGACTAACATGCAAACAGCCCGACGTGACATCCGCATCGCCACTGATATGGCACGAGTCGCTCATTTGGATTCCGAGGTAGCCAAGAGGGAGATGGAAACTATGAATGGTTGATTGAGTATATATGTGGGCCGGGTGGATGGCATCCAGATGCGAGTGAATGAGACTTGAGAACGTCTGGGTCGCATGGAGACACGTGTTGGCGGAATCCAATATGAGATGGCGCGGCAGTCATCTATGATGAGAGGGATTTTAGCGCTCCTACCTCCACCTCCAAATGATGGTATAGCAAGAAACATCTTCCCACCACCACCTCCATATTGATCAAAGGAGTATCGTCTACTACTTTTGATTTTTATGAAAGTATCCTTCAATTATGTCTTTTAACCTTTGTTAATTATTCATTGATGACAATGTATTAACTACGTTTTGGAGGGGGTGACATAATTTTGGACATCTTTACATCACTTTGCATAAATTCATCAATATTTGTGTCTCTTTAGTGTATATGTTTCATTTTTTTTACATGTTGCGTGCTTGATGAGTGTTATAAAAAAAATTAAAAAAAAAATAAATATATAAATATATAAAAAAATTTAAAATTGTGCATTTTATCCATTTTACTTTATTTCCTTTCATGAGTGCTTGTGTGAGCTTGACAGCCTTGCCGGCTATGATGTAAATATTGGACTGGTGTAACTTACAAAACTGTGGATATGGTGCCGAATATATTAACCAATACTTGTGATGCAATACTTGACATTCTCTATGCACGACACTCATGCTTGACATGTTAGGTGAGTGCCTAGGTTTTGAGCATAAAGTAGGAAGTAAGCGATAACCTTCTATTAAATTACACCGTAGATTATTGTAAGGCAGTTTGAAAATGGTTGAGCAAGTATAAGGGAACATAGAGATAAGAGAGGGTTCCGTGCATGAATTCTAGTGTGTGGATTGTCTAGACCAGTGAGGTGAAGATTAGGTGAAAATTTTAAATTGGGGGTCGGTTTTGAAGACGAAATGTCTAGAAAAATAATAAAAGGCATAAAAAATTAATTTGTGTGAACATGATACTTTCTTCCAAGCTTTTATGACTCGAGCAAGTAAGCCTGTAAGGGTATCCTCAAACCTAGTGCCCTAAAGCCAACTAGACTGAGAGTCACCAACCAAAACTCGCTACAGGGATCATATAGAAAGCAAGAAGGGAAAAAAGTTAATAAAAAGTCATCTGATCAAGCCTTTATAACTCGAGTGAATAAGCCTGCAAAGGTTTAAAACCTGGTGCCCTAAGACCAACTGGTCTGGGAGTCACCGGCCAAAAGCTCGCTACAGGGGTTAGATAGAAAGCAAATGAGAAGGTGGCATTAAAAAAAAAAAAAAAAAAGGACATGTAAAAAGCCCTTGGACATTTGGTTGATAAAACTACACCTTCAATACGAGGCAAGTAACTTGTTTAATTTTAAGGGTTGAAACAATCAAATTTGGGAGAGCTTTCACTTGTTGACATGTGAACTTATGATAGCAAGATCAATCCGAACTAAGAGAGGGTAAGGACTACAGTTACCTAACTTCCTAGCTTTAAAACACAACCTCGAGATAATTGAGTGAAAAGAATAAGTTTGGGGGGTTGTGTATCTCTCGAACGAAGCAAGGACATATTTGACAACTCTGGCATGGGACTCACCCATCATAAACTTAATATGTTGGCATGATTTCACACACACACGTCAGATATGCATTTAACGGGTAAAGGTTGGTTTCATTTTTGCACTGATCAAATTTTATTGAAGCCTAACACTTAGTCCAATCCTGAGATACGACAATACTCAATCTACAGGTTGCCTTATATATTGTACATGCAATAATTAGGATGTGACTCAGGAAAAACTTCATCGATATGATTGCTTATTGATTGCATCCGATCGATTACAAATGCAAGGTTCTCAACATTCTGAATTACTTTCCTCAACTTTTGAAGAACCAATGCATCGTTAGATCATTCTCGCCATCGACTATGTAGAATGCAAGAGGGTAAATTTGGATATTTGCATCATGACACGTAACAATAATCAACTTGCATTTGTATCTAGCTTTAATTGTTGTATCATCAAGTAGAATTAAGGATCGCATCGCATTTTGAAACCCCGATGCATTGTCCAAGAGTTATGAAGAAATATCTGAAGTGATTCTCGCTCTCCGTCTCAATAAAAATGTCGAGTCAAGATTAATTATCCTCATGCTATCGCAATACCTAGCCAATTTAGTATCTCTCATTGGTCGAAACCATTGAATCCTCCAATGTGTATTTTTTTGCTTCCTAGGCCTTTTGGTAGCTCATGACGATCTTGTATTCTCGACGGATGTTTTTAATGATGTCTGAAGGTAAGTAGATCATCAACCCAATACATAGGTATGTTTTTAATATTGCAATACGTAGGTTTTGAAACTTGTGCATTATTCGTCGACCAATAACCATACTCGGGCTCACATGTGGTCATTTTAGCGAATACCCACTTTGCAAGTTTGTTCTAGTGCATACTTGCAAATAATAAAGAACTCATTCGTATACATCTTCATCACTCCCAAATGCTAGCGGCAACTGTCATCAACCCAGATAATTATGTAAGTCGACTTGTTTGATTTTCTCACTTCAAACTTAAAGTTGTACTTCAATGCAATCTATTGCACAACTTCCTACAAATCTTTCTTTATTTCAAACAATTGCTTGACATGCAAATTTTCATTATTAGAAACCACGTGCAAACAATTACATAACTGTGCACTCATTCCAATCTGTGAGCTCCCATCCAATTCATGTTTCCGATAGAATAAAAGTAATGAAATCTTCAATTGTAAATTTATTTTCATTCTAGCTATCTTGAACTACCAAGGGAATTCTATGCCTAATAGTAAGATCATGGTAACGAACAATTGTCTCAGAAATAATTACATTATTCTCACGAGCTATCTCCACTGTGTTCCAAAAATCATTAACATTACGATCCCCTCCATCGAAATCTTTATGTTCACTCTCGGGAACATTCTTCTTTACTAAAGTTACACAAATAGAAGTCATGCAATTTTGGCTCAATTCAATTAAAATTTTCATTTCAATTTCAAAAGTAACATTTACATGTGAAATTGAAATTGATATATACTCATTGAATAGAAATCCCAATTTCATATCGTACTGAAAGGAATCGACATCGAGCTTGTCCTGTAAATCATGATACACATCTGCATATAATGTACTTGATATTATCACAATTTCAATAACACCACATCTTTTTCTCGTCCATTTTCATGCCAATCAATCATTTTCATTTATTAAATTTACCAAAGTAACAAACTGATACTGTAGCGGATCCTATATCTACATTATGAAACAGATTTAACAAAAAAATAGATAATAAGGACAAAAAAAAATCGACTTGGTTGATTGTTAACAGTTGATCCAAATGGCTGCGACGATCTACTGTTAATAGGCAGCCCAACCTTCTGGACCAATTGTTCTACATGCCCAAATGGTTGGGACAGCAATTTTCAAAACCTACGTATTGTGATATTAAACTTGTGCATTATTCGTCAACCAATAACCATACTAGGGCTCACATGTGATCATTTTAGCGAATTCCCACTTTGCAAGTTTGTTCTAGTGCATACTTGCGAATAATAAAGAACTCATTCGTATACTTCTTTGTCGCTCCCAAATGCTAACGACAACTATCATCAACCCAGATAATTGTGTAAGTCGACTTGTTTGATTTTCTCACTTCAAACTTAAAGTTGTACTTCAATGCAATCTATTGCACAACTTCCTACAAATCTTTCTTTATTTCAAACAATTGCTTGACAAATTTTCATCATTATAAACCACGTGCAAACAATTACATGACGAAGCACTCGTTCCAATCTGTGAGCTCCCATCCAATTCATGTTTTTGATAGAATAAAAGTAATGAAATCTTCAATTGTAAATTTATTTTCATTCTAGCTATCTTGAACTACCAAGGGAATTCTATGCCTAATAGTAAGATCTTGGTAAGGAACAACTGTCTCAGAAATAATCATATTATTCTCACAAGCTATCTCTACTGTGTTCCAAAAATCATTCACATTACGATCCCCTCCATTGAGATCTTTATGTTCACTCTTCGGAACATTCTTCTTCATTAAAGTTAGACAAATAGGAATCGTGCAATTTTGGCTCAATTCAATTAAAAACTTCATTTCAGTTTCAGAAGTAACATTTACCAGTGAACTTGAAATTGATATATACTCATTGAATAGAAATCCCAATTTCATATCGTACTGAAAGGAATTAACATCGAGCTTGTTCCGTAAATCATGATACACGTCTGCATATAATGTACTTGATATTATCACAATTTCAATAACACCACATCTTTTTCTCGTCCATTTTCATGTCAATCAATCATTTTCATTTATTAAATTCGCCAAAGTAACAAACAAATACTGTAGCGGATCCTATATCTACATTATAAAACAGATTTAACAAAAAAATAGATAATATGGACCCAAAAAAATCGAGTTGGTTGATCGTTAACAATTGACCCGAATAGCTGGGACGATCCTACTGTTAATAGGTGGCCCAACCTTCTGGACCAATTGTTCTACATGCCCAAATGGTTGGGACGACAATTTTACAAACGGTCATGAATTTGAAACAATATACTTATTTAACGAAAGCAAAATTGAATATACATAATTATACTTACCGATTTATATTATTGAGCCTTTGATAAATTTTTGAGATTTTAAGGTTGAAACAAATGAAAAATGAAAGAATTTTTAGTTGGAGTAAATAGATAAAAAAAAGACTTGATTTTGAAATTTTAAGTGAGAAGTGTTTAATTTTTGCTTTGTAACTTAAAAGGGTATTATTGTATTTTAAATACCACCACATTTTTATAATTGTATAACATATTAAGGGTATATTTATCTTTTAATCATTACAAGACCATTGTGATGAATGACAAAAAAAATTTGCTTATGCGAAAAATGGTTACGTTGACTTTGTCAATTTTAAAACTGGAAAATGTCATATGTACAGGAGAATGGTTTATTGAATTTTTATAAAACACTCACATGGGGTGGGTACCATGTGATTAAAATATTGTCAAAAAATATCACCCCACTCACTCCTCATGTATGTGTCCTGTGCAGGCCATGCGAACATGTAGTTTTGTCCTTTAAAAATACCCTTTCGCAGGGCCTACCCAGAGACGTTGCTACACCTTTGAATCCCAATGTCAAATCATTAGTGTACAATTAGCATGAAAAGGGTATGAGCCTAAGTCTCGAGGTTTAAAGATTTCGTCTATGAAGCTATACCCTGGAGTTATAGATTTCAATTAAACTACAAATTGTATAATATTGGTGGTCATTAAACTTATAATAATATTCAAATTAGTCTCTAAATCCTTTTTTTTTTTTTTTTTAATTTAATCAAGTCATTCGACTCTCCTATTGACTTACCACATTTGCACATCGTTACATATCAAGCGACTAATGTTGAAACTGACCAAAAACTAATCGGAAAGAGCATAATCTCGCAAAAACTCAAACTTATTGATTTAAAAGATCAAATAACACAGGAGAGAGAATAATTTGAGAAACTTCTCGAAATTTTTATTCAATTTAAATTCAATTAATTGGCATAAGGCTTACAACTCATATTTACAACAGTAAATAAAATCTGTAGAATAACTAAACTCCTAGATAACTATAAGAAATAAAAATAATGATCAAGTCTAATTGGAATTAAAATCCTAATATAATTAAAATTAGGACAATTATTCAGAATAACGAAAAATGCATTTTCAAAGCCTTAAACGACGGAATTCGACTGAGCGGACCATACGACATGCTTGCGTATGAGTTTTGCTCGCCTATGAGTTTAGTGACTAATAATACAATGTTTTTCAAATCAAGGCCAAGAAAGTGAGCATATATGTTGAAATCACGGATCCTTGCATCATCTCTAAGATGCTTTTGTTGAAGGAATAATGACAGTGACTTGCAAAAATCTGCACACTATTCCCATTCAACCTTGTGCGATTGAGAACCAACAGCAAAGATGCCAAATTCTAAAGCGAAAAGCAAAAGTTGTTTGACTAACTTCCTATCTCAAAAAGAGGGAGTGTGACTCTGTCTCTTTGTTTGCTGCTTTCACAAAGGCTAAGATTGCATTAGCCCCTCAGAAATTGAGCACCGTAGTAAATACCGAAGGCCGCCAAGAAATTTCATTGACCCTAAAAAACCACCCAAGGAACAGCCTAAACATGAAGAAAAAGAGCACTGGAACTCGATAAACTGAGCACAATATAAATATACAATAAGCAGGTGGAACACATCAATACAACAGTCTGCTAGCATCAATTACATACTAGCTAGTGAGCAAACGAATCCATAGGACACTTCAAGTTGATGTGAATATCTCCCGAGTTGAACTTTTTGCGCGTCCATGATGGGGACGGGGGAGAGTAGAGAGAGCAAAATGCAACGGCAATGATGATTTGATGACATTGGTCTAACTAAAAAATGGAATGATTACAAGGAAAACACCAAACAAACAAACAAGAAAGGTCCATAACAACAACTGGTCTCAGAATACCAAAACTCATTTCAACTTGATTTGATTAAAGTACCTTATAGCAACTAACAAATACATATCTGGCTACACTGAATGAAATACTATTCATTTCACAAAATTGAGGACTAAGAAAATTGTTTTACATATGGACAGCCATAAATAAGTACAATGAACCTTGTCCAGTGATGACAGAAAAGCACCTCCATCCAGTTTTTATCTGCTCATGCTGTACAATTTAGCACGTACATTTTCCCTCTATGAATGCACTATGTTAGATGTATGATTTCCAACGAGAAAGGCAGAGGAATGTCCCGACTCTTATTTAATTTGATTATGATTTGGAGAATGCTATTTAAGGCATTCAAAATCAGCAAATCAGACAGAAAATCATCAGCTCAATGTCCAGCTACGCATTCCCCTTGGAGAATAATTGTTTTAGCCAATTTGAAAGTTCACTACCACTATGTGAAATAAGATATACAATAAATGATACATACGCTGCTGTTCCAGCACAAACGAGAAAACCGAAAAGCAGCCCATTAACTTCAGACAGAAAAAAGTCTAGCAAAAGATATCCATTAATCACTATCACCAGGCCAGCCACTGTCCATGCAACTCTCTGCATTACAGATTAACATTAGTATGATAACATAGAATTGATAGATCCTTGTGTACACCCTCAAAAATAGAAGATATTGATCTGTTTCTATCACTCAAAATCCCGAGGTTCCCAACAAGTCATATGCAGCAAACTATAATAAAATGGAACTGGACTTTACTGGTTAGCTAATAGATGTAGAGAAAACAGAAAAAGATAATCTCAAGTGCCAGAATAGGGAGCGATGAACTGTGTTACTAGGAATGACCGTTAGAGATGTGCTTGTAATTCTTAGTTTCTTGTGTCAAAGAATCACAAAAATATTACAGACATTTTGTTTAGGCAGGCAACAACAGAAAGAACAGTATCAATGCGAATCCTACATGATTTCTGTGCAAGCTGTATATAACTTGCGATAAAAAGAATTATTTCCTCTCCCTCTCTCTCTCTCTCTCTATTTTGCTGTGGCAAACAAGGCAGCAGTATTCATTGAAATCAACTTTGAAAGATATTAACATTAATAGAAGATTGATTCACAAACTCAATAACATAATCCCTAGAATGCAATCAATTAATTTTCAGTTGATGGATACCTAGTGAGATTCAGATTTCAGTTGTAAAAATAAATTTTCTTATGCAAATAGTACTCTTACCACTAAATAAAACAGAATACTTATTCGTATAGCCTGCATCTGCTTGAAGCAATGTCTTGAGCAAATTACTTAAAGAACCCTAAACAAACTGCAATACTATGGTACTTTTGGGGGGCTAGGAAGTCGTGCATTCTTTATAAATTTAATTTCTTGCAGTCTAATATGTCATCTTCATGAACACAATTGTCAAAGCTTTGGTTTGCACTAGAATGATATAACAATGGAATTTTTTATTTACCTCAAGAGCAGGCCCAATTTTGAAGACTCCCATGACCTGCTCCTTGGACACCAAGGTCAGAAGTGGGATGAGTGCAAAAGGTATCTGTATAGACTGTAGGACATTGAGCCATTCATTCAATATATCTAAGGATGCTTCTGATTTGTTGAAAACCAGCGCCACCATTATAGTTGGTAAAATTGCACAACTTCGAGTTATTAATGCCCTCAACGATTTCTTTAACCGAAGGTTAAGAAATCCTCCCATTATAAACTGTCCAGCATATGTGCCAGTAATAGTACTACTCTGTCCAGCTGCCAATAATCCAATACCCCATATGTAGAGAATTGGAAACAGTCCACCACCATACTTCTCTTGAAGATACTGTCCTGCGTTTACTAAGCCTATCCCATCTGCTTGTTTACTGCCGTAGAACCCTTTAGCAAAGACAGTTGTGACAAATAGATTGATCATGAAGGAGACAAGGAGAGCAACTGAGGACTCAATTCCATAGTAATTAATAGCCTCCTGGACCTGACCTTTCTTGTTAGGGTCAATCTTCCTTGACTGCACCAAAGCAGAGTGCAGGAAAACATTATGAGGCATTATTACACAACCCACAACTCCCACAGCTTGTCGAATTGTTCTTGAGCTGAGCTTGGGAACCAAGAGACCTGTAGAGATTACAAACAGACATTATTAGTAATCCATACAGATGCCTTTTTTTTATTTTCCTTTCAGTTCCCATCTATTTCCATCATTCCTCTTGTTGGGGAGGGGAAAAGGTTATCTATAAGTAATATATCCAATCATTTTCTTTACAAGTGTGCACAGCATAATTAAGTGACTAACCTATTAGAAGCTCCTTTCCACTAGGTTTAGTGTCAGCAAACATCCAAGCAAACGAAAGTGCCATTGTTGAAATAAGAACAGCAAAAACAGCTTCCAACTTCCTCACTCCGTAGTTTTCAAGAAGTAAAAACATAAAACTGTATGACATGTTGACAAAATCAACTTTAGTCATCAAATTGAAACTCCCATGAAATAAAATGCATACTGGTACATACAAGCATCACATATGCAATAAAAAAGAGTATAATACTGAAGCTCCTTTTGGTGGTTCATGGGTAGGGAGCTTGAGCCGAGCCGAGCCGAGCCGAGCCACTTGGCTCGTTCTCCGTCAAGCACGGGTCAGCCCACCACATTAGCCAGCTCGTGCTCACATATGGTCGAGCTGAGTGCGTGCTAGCTAGTTTCCAAAAACCCCAACTCGGTTTGCCTCTCCAACTTGGCCTTGGTAGGCTCGCAGCTACCCGATTTATTTATTTTATTTTTTTGAAATAAAAATTAGATTGTCACTTAACACCCAATATGGGATAAGGGGAGATTAATAATGAATCTCATATTATGTTGTACTTTCAATTGTTTATTTGGATGAGTGATCTAGGATTCTCTTTTAGAAATATAGTGAATAGTGATTAGACAATCCCAAAGGGTGCTGGGAAGTTTATCGAACAATCAGGATAAGCTGCAAAGATATATCTTACTTTGTATGTCCTCCCTCCCTTCCCCCTCAACGTACAAGTCTACCTACACCTTTACAGGCCTCCACAATCCCCTTCCCATAACCTGTACCTCCATCCCTTCACTGCCACCCCCTTGCCCCATCTTATACCTTCAAATTCCCAAATTCCATCACCATCGGATCCTACCATGCATCATCAACAAAACTCTGGTACCCTTCTCCACCCTCCTCAAAACCCAGCCCCACATCTCTTCGGTATAGCCACTGGTCTACAAATTTCCTAACCTTGCCTCTTCAACCCAACACTAATTGAGAACTCATCTCAAACCAATAACAAAATTGTCTTGGTTTAGAAAAGTGTAGAGAGGGACCCCTTTTAGATGTAAGTCTGTGCAAGTCTAGACCTTTATTTCATTTTTTTCAACTTTCGGGTAAAAAGTAGATAAATGAGTTGGAGAAGTAGTTGCAAAAATAATATTTTACCATGTTCAGTCCCATTATTAACTTTAAGAAGCCAAAAGTAAGATTGATTGAGAAGAAGACCAAGACAAGTAATAGTTCGTTTTAAATCCAAAGATGATTGGCTTATCATGGAACAGGAGCAAGTAAGCCATGAGTGGTATCTGAGTATGATAAAACCCAAATGCAATCACAAAAGAAAGTCCACTTTCAGATACATGGGAAAAACAGTTATTTCCTCACGCAACTAGCAGTATGTGACAAATATATAGCAACTTCCACCACAAAAAGCGCCTTTAATGCCCAACTAATATCATCTTCCACCAACAAGTAAAGGTACCAACTTTCACCAAAAATATATGTATACACACACACACTCGCACTACCAAAGTAATGTTGGCTTCCACCAAATATAAAAAGTACAACTCAGAACGACGTGCAGAGTGTAACTCACTATCAAAACACACTTAATAACTAACATATTAATCGAGAACTAAAACTAAATCTACACTGAGAAATTAATGGAAATGAATTTGAGTCTAAGAGACGAAAAACCTGGATTTCGAATTTTAAGAACATATATAGTAATCGTAGTATTTTTCCCCAGTTTTCTTTTCAGAATTTCTTATCTACAAAATGATAAATAAAATCCAAAAAAAATAAAGATACAAGAACATACCAATCAGAAGCAGTAATCAACACCCCAGCCCAAAGGGGGATCATCCCACGGCTCAAAATCTGTATAGCAATTGCACTGCCAATAACTTCTTGAATATCCGCCCCGATCAAAGCCAGCTCCGCCATGAACCAAAGCAAAAGCCGGGCCCAATCAGGGTACTCCTCCCGGCACAGCTCGGACAAGTGCCGGCCGGTTGCCACACCCACTCTCACTGACAGAAGCTGGATCAGTAGACCCATCACGGTTGCCCACATCAATAACCAGAGTAACGAATAGCCGGCAATTGCTCCAGCCTGCAGATCCCCCTCCAAATTGCCAGGATCCAAGAAGGCAATACTCATTAAAAAACCGGGACCCGTAAATAACCACAATTTCTTAAACGAAAACGGTGGCACACTGCTAAAATCTGTGGAGCTGGTGGAATCCAATTCGAAATCATGAATCAAAATTTTTTCACCGGATTCATACGCAACGTCTTCTTCATCTTCTTGTTCTGTTTTTACACTATTCTCAGTTGACCGGAGTGGTGAGGGTAATAGACGGTGAGATTCATTTACCGGTTCCGGTTCTTGCGCTTCTAATACTTGGACTTTTGGGGAATCTGAGGGTGTATTGTCTTGTTCTTGAGGTGGGTTCATTGTATAATTCGAATTTCCATTCCCTTTTCCCATGAGATGGGTTTAGGTTGGGGAAGGGAGGAACGCCGTGGATCAATGGATGGTGGTTGCTATAGGCCAAGATGACGGTGGAGAATCCGGCTGCTCGTGGGACGTGGGAATTTATAGATCAAGCATGCTTGACACTCGCAAATTCTTACATGGCAACAATCTATCGGAACCTTAGCAATATTTATATAGGGCTTGCACCCGGACGTGTTACCCGGCACGGGCCCCACCCCCGATGTGAGAGGCGGGTAAACGCTAGGGGTACAAATAGCATTCTCTTAAAATATAACCGACGCGTCTAATCTGAATTCGGATCTGAGGCTGAGGCCTCAGTCCCCTGTCACAGGGCCTGTGCTGTCCATTTAGCATAATTGGTTTGATTAAGGTCATTTGGTACACATTAATGTAAAAATAAAATTAAAAAATATAGTCATTATAAATTTCATAAAAGAAATAAAAAGTGAAATATGATGGCTTGATTTGATGGATAACAGTCATATTTTTCATTTTAATGAGTAAATAATAGGAAACAAACGAGAGCTAAGCTTTGAAAAATATATTTTAGTCAACTAATAAGTTTTAAAATAAGAATTTTTTTCCCCTAATTGATCAGAATTTCAACAAGTTATAAAATTATAATTTCATTTGTAAAATATCACATTGATATAAAAATGCGATATTGCTCCTATTTGGTAGAAATTAAAAGTTAAAGTCAACAAGTAATTTTAACTATATTTTATATGATCCACAAATTTTTAATCACATATTTCATTCAATTTCATTAAAAATTTGATTTTAATCCTCACCAAACAGGGCATTATAAAGTTTTTCATGTTATTTCGATCTATCTTCTTATTGACTAATCAACAATGTATTATTGGACAAAGAATAATGTTTAGCCATACATGTTAGATCATTTTACATTTTTAGCTCGTTATGTATGGTCTAACATTTAATTTTTTGTTTGGGCCAAATATGTTCCCATATTTGCAATGCTGTTTACTATAAATAGCCTAAAATTTAATAGCTAATTGTTAGCATTTTAAGGATGCTTAAATTAGTATATGAATTGTACCACATGGGTTGGAAAGGTTGAAAATATTAATTATGCGATCCAATTTATTGAAAATAAATTACTTAGGAAAAAAAAATAGGTATATTTTAGCAATATCTTATTTTCGTAATAAAATAAAATCCGTCGACTTACTTCACATGAAGAAACGAGTTTTGGAAGATTTCCTTCTTCTTCTTCTTATTAAAACGTTTCCAAATTTATCGTACTAATAAAAAGAAAGACGTAAGCTAAAACCTGCTCCTAACAAGGTTCTGAATTGAAGTATTGCAATCTCCATCCCAAGTTGCGACCAATTTACTTGAATTGATATGTATTTGAAAATAATCAGTTTTCCCTTACCAAAAACAAAGAACAAAATATTTCAAAATAAATAATAAATAACTAAGACAAAGTACAAAAGTGAAATCATGGAATTTACGCAACAATTTTCACTTCACAATTTTTGTGAAGCACAAAACGAATCAAAATCAAAATAATCAAAACCACTTGGTTTGTAGAGTTCAATGGATGAGAGTTTTTCCAGCAGGTAGAGATATGATTCTTTTTATTATTTTCCAAACAAAATGACAAACGAGGTTATTCAGCTAGATATGGATAAGAGGGTATGGAATACAACAACATTTGTCAACAAGCATAACGTAGCTAGCTTAAGAGATAATTTGCCATTAATATTATTTTGAATCCATTCAATTTGAATTGGTATTTTTTCTATCACAAATTATTATGAAGAAACAACTACAATGATCAGTCTATAATAATTACTAAAAAATAAATAAATGAGCAATAACGCCTCTTAAAAGAACAAATACTTTTGCACCATTTTTTTCCCGATAACATCACATTTGAATTCAAGTTTAGTTGTTTAGTTAAGTAAATTACAAATAACATGTTATGAAAAGAGAGAAAAACGGAAGAGTAAATAAAAGTCAATAAACTTACATGAATTTTATTAAAGATCAAAACCCTATAATTATAGGGAAGAATCGGGGGTACTACGATAATAATTTCTAGCACTATAAGGATATAATTGTCATTCACTAATACACTTACTATATACAATACTTCTCTTTAAATGATACATTATAAAATATATGTCTTTTTAAAACCTTATTTGATAAAAAATTTATAAGACAAAAAAATCAAACAAAAGAAAAAGATTACAGTTATTTTTAAAGTATTAAAAATAAATGTTACCTCGTTAAAATTTTATTAGAAAACCCAGAAAGACAAAACCTAAGCGAATGAAAAAGAGTAAAACTACTTCCCCTAATGTTGATCATTGCAAATTTTTGAATAGACGCATTTCAATCTTGTGAGCTAATTTTTGGAATGTGGATGCTGACGGTACTTTTGTAAATAAATCAACCACATTGTTACTTAAGCGAATTTGCTAAACATCGATGTCCATTCTTCTAAAGCTCATGTGTATGAATGAGTTTTGGAAAAATATGCTTCATCATGTCACCTTTGATGTAGACTCTTTCGAGTAGAGCAATCACTACAATAAAAAAAGTTTTTTGCAACGTTCAAAAAATGTTGCTATAGACCTTTTGCAACGCTTAGACGTATGTTACAAATCTCAATGTTGTTGTAGAGCGGAAGGATACGGCAACGTTTTTCAAACATTGTCGTAGATACTTACCGCAATGTTCGGAAGGATACGGCAACGTTTTTTTAACATTGCAGTAAGTATTTACGACAATGTTTGAAAAACGTTGTCGTAGACCTATGACAACATTTTTTAAACATTACGATAAGTATCTACCCAACGTTTAAAAAATGTTGCCGTAGATATGTATCTACGGTAACTTTTAAAAAAACGTTGCCGTAGATACTGACAGCAACTTTTAAAAAACGTTGTCGTAAGTGCTTCGCAACAGTTATTATTATTATTATTATTTTTTTACAGTAATTTATGTAAATTAACTTGCAAAATTGAAAATGATAAATTTTGTAATTGCATAAAAATTGATAATTTCATTACATTTTTTTGAATACACAGTGCTATAGTATAGTTGGTTACTGAATAGCATAGATATACACAAAAAAAAAAAGAAAAAATTATTTGCGTTAAGCATTAGTTACATAAGATTTAAGCCCTGAACACACAAAAGATAGGAATTCCTTTCAGCATTGTAACACTCCTCTTCATCGGAACCTTTCTCTTCATTAGAAACACAGCTCCAACTCCATCACTCATTTGGGTAGAATTTTCTTAACAAACAATATAAAAAAGTCAGTATTTGGAAATTTATAGTACACACACACACACACACACACACACACACACACACACCCACCCACACCCACACCCCAAAAGGAAGAACAAAATCCTATATTACATAAAACACAACAACAAATTCCTACATTGACTAATCATACATTCATATTTACAGAATAACTCAACCAAGGCTGTAATTGAGATTTTGAGACCTAAACCGAACTTCTAAGTTGGGCATTTATGTAGTTAAGGAAAGGCTTGTGGTCTCCTGAAGAAGATGAAAAACTTATAAAGCGCATAACTAAATATAGACATGGATGTTGGAGTTCTGTTTCTAAACTAGCTGGTAATAACTTTATTTTTCGTCAGACATTTTTGATTTTATTTTCATGTTTTTCGTTTTTGATCACACTATTGTGTGATAATCTTGAAGGGCTTCAACGGTGTGGAAAGAGCTGCAGGTTAAGGTGGATTAATTATTTAAGGCCTAATTAGAAAAGAGGGACATTTTCTCAGGAGGAAGAGAATTTGATTATTGAATTGCATGCAGTTCTTAGAAACAAGTATATAATTTTGAATTATCCTGCAATTTCTTACATGTTTAATTTGAATTTTCTGGAATATTAAGGCCGTTTAATTCTGAACACTTGCAACACAAAGGGGCAGCAGCAGTAGGTAAAATGCATACCAATTTCCAACTAAAAAAGATTAAGAACCTAAGGAATTTCTATCACTATCATACACCTTCTTCTAGAATTTGGTAGGGTAGAAAGTACTAGGCGATGTGTAAATGGAAGGATAAAAAATGAAAGGGCAATAATTTTTATTATTTGTATGGAATGAAAAGTGGAAGGAAAAGAACAATTATTTTTAATTTCTCATATTTTCTTCTTTTCCTCTCATTTTCCACCCCTATTCCCAGCCAAAGGAAGGAAAATAGTTTTGTCTCCTCGAAGGACAGAAAATCCATATTGCAATTATCTGTCCCTGCTCGTTTTCCATCCTTTCATCCAAGCATAGCCTTAATATAATTCTGGCAGCGTATACTGTAGATAACAACCAAATAAAAGTGGAGTACAATCTATTAACAAGAAGAGAAACACCGCTTAATATATATGCTCGTGGCACTGACAAGTTTAATAAACACATAAAATTGCAGGATACAATGAGTAGTGGATTTTTCTTTGTTTGGTATATAAGCTTAAAGCATTCACTAAAGAAGCATAATTTTATAAATGAAACTACGATTCCACTCAATTAACTGAACGGTTCATAAAAGTAGAATATAAACTAACGATTATCTGCCATATCAAGAGACTTACAGCATATCTAGGAATGTCAACTTTCTTTGTATCACGGCTATCGCCAAAGGCATTATCGTGCTACAGAAGAGAGAGAGAGACAGAGAGAGAGAGAGATTCAAACATGAGGCATAAACATAGAAAATGGCACTACTGATGGTTATGGTATGAAAAGAAAATCATATATATGGAGGCAGCACAAATGCAATCACCTGAGTTATTAATGACAACAATAGGCACAAATGCATGATCTTTCACAATTTGCCAAAACCTTCAGAATACCTTCACAATCTGCCAAAACTTGGGCCTCTTGTTCGGTTGCACAGACCAACATTGATCAATCAACGTCCTCATGGCAAGGGAACAATAATCAGGGACAGCAGGTCTCAAATTTTGAAAGAACCCAAATAGAGTCTGGTTTAAAAATTAAATAGCACTAAGATACATATTTTGAATTTTGTAAC